ATTTAGAAAGGGAATGGGATGTACAGATCAAGTCTTCTCCATGCGCATGATCGCGGAGAAGTTTTTGGCCAAAAACCAAAAGGTTTTTTGTGCGTTCATGGACTTGGAGAAGGCCTATGACAGAGTGGATAGGAATGTGCTATGGCAAACACTGAACTCATTTGGGTTGAGCGCTGGCTTGATACAGGCATTGGAATCTCTTTATAGGGACTCTAGTGCTTGTGTTAGGATCAACGGGGTCTACTCGGACTGGTTTGGCATCCATAAAGGTGTCAGACAGGGCTGTGTGGCTTCCCCGTGGTTGTTCAACCTATTTATGGACAGTTGTTTGCAAAATTTGAAAGTTGAAGAATGCGGATTAAGAATGGGTGAGTTAACCATCAAATGCCTTTTGTACGCCGATGATCAAGTTATTCTTGCGTCGTCGGCGGCTGAGTTGCAAATGATGGTTACATTAATGAACAGATCATTAAAAGAAAGGGGTATGAAAGTGAACGCAAGTAAGTCAAAAATTATGGTTTTTGAAAGAGATGAAAGTAAAACGATATGTGAAATAAGAATAGAAGGGGAGTTGATCGAGCAAGTAGATGAGTTTGTATATTTGGGTTGCGTATTTAGCAGGGATGGGAGATATGATAAGGATATAGAACGACGAGTGAACGCAGGAAACAGAGTAAATGGAGCCCTGCACTCTATTGTGAAGAGTCAAAATGTGTCAAAAAAGGCACGTATGGCAATTCACAATGCTGTGTTGGTCCCTACTTTAACGTATGGTAGTGAAAGTTGGGTATGGCAGAAGAAGCACGAGAGTAGAATAAATGCAGTAGAAATGCGGTCGTTAAGGAGTATGTTAGGGCTGAATCTGAATGACAGGGTGAAAAATTGTGTGATAAGAGAAGAGTGTGGTTTGCAAGATGATGTTGTGACCAGGATTAAGAAAGGAATGCTTCGGTGGTTTGGTCATGTGGAAAGAATGGATGAGGAAAGAGTGACAAAGAAAATTTATGTTGCAGAAGTGAATGGCAGAGTCGGAAAGGGACGTCCTAGGCGAAAATTTATCGACCAAATTGGCGATTTATTGAAAACGGGCCAAATTAGGAGTACCCTTAACCGACGAGCATGCATGCGTAGGTGTATGGATGTGAAGGAGGCGAGAGAGGTGTGTCAGGATCGTGCCAAATGGAAGTCTGTAGTCTCTGCCTACCCCTCTGGGTGACAGGCGTGAGTGTTTATGTATGCAATAAATGCTTAAATTGTACGGTAAACCCCCGTGCGTGCCGTTGACGACTTTAGTAACAATTAATAGAATCAGGCGTTACTTTGCGGCAATTCATTAAGGGGAAATATAACCTCAAATGGCTTAGCAAGATCCTCCGTTATGTCGAAAGTATTGCAGCATTAATTTTGAAATAAATATATGGTAAAGTAGAGGATTAATGTTAAGTACTATGTTAGACGAAAACATGATTCCGTAAAATTTTCTCGATAGAAAAAAAATCCAAAGTTACCTCCAAACTGAACAATAAACCGCTGTTATTCATAAAATACTTTAAATAAGATCATGAAACTTTGCATACTAACCGAACTAACTATAAAGCAGGGCTTAAGTTTTTTTATATTTTTTTAAAATTACCATTATTTCCACTGTAAAAAGAAATTACCTAAACTATCGGCGTCCTGAAGCTTGTTAACTGCCGCCCTGTTCCAAGATTCCCGGTTACACTTACACTAGGAAAGACATCAACGTCGATAATACATGTGTTTCGCCTCTAAAAGAGGCATCCTCAGGTGAAATATACTCTGCGCTGACTGACACCCTAAATACTTTAGACGTTTGTTTTATAAGTGCAGATTGCTTTATAAACCGAAATCCTAAAGTATTTGATAGCTAAAAAAAGGCTATATACGAATTTCATCAATTTCTTATTTCATTTATACAATCGAATCAAGGAAGAGATAATTCTCAGTTACAAGTTAATATTTAAGGGCCTTTTGCTGACTATGCATATTGTTTTTTTTCCGAAAATAATTTGCAAAGTCATTGTTTAATTTCATATATAGTTAAAGCATTAGCGCATTACATACGTATTAATAAGATCGCGTAAAAGGGTCTAGATGAATCTTAATTCACTGGCACAAATCTATTTCTATATTAAAGCTTCGTACCAAAACACAACCGTACAATTTAATTTTCTTCAATTATTATGAGAAAAACAACTTTTTATTCTTTTGTTCTTCGAGGACGATTGTTTAAGTATAGAGAAAAAAAAACGAAACTTATGGAAGATAGTAATAATAATACTCCTAACCGAATTTCGGCCACGGCGACCTGCCTCAACGGGGACTAGCCATCGACGCAGGACAGGATTATAGTGCCCAAGTGTACGCGTAAGCACAGGTGCACTCTCTACTCCCTCATTCTCATAATCAGATGGGACGGTAAACCGACACGACCGGAGAGAGATCAGGCGCAGGACCAACGGCTTTACGTGCTTTCCGAAGCACGGGGGTGAGACACCGCCAACCTCCTGACTCCGGGCAACTACTGAGAATTTCTTGACGGAAAAACTCAATAACTAATTTTTTGGCCCGACCCGGGATTCGAACCCAGGACCTCATGATCAGCAGTCGCACTACTACAACCACTAGACCAACAAGGCAGTTGAGAAAGATAGTATACATGCTTTTAAATAGCCTTGGTAATCCCATCATATAAATAAAATTAAAGTGTCTGTATGTGTAATATTGTAATTGGCTTATTTTAAGCTGACAGGATTATTTGTATGCTTTTAAGACAAATAACCATTTTTTTTTTAATTTTTGTCTGTGTGTCTGGACTTATCCCCGAAACGTGAATCAATTATTTCAGCAGCATAGAGCAATGCCAGGCGGGATCTAGATTATATTTTAGGGAACAAATTGAAGATTTTTAATAAAACAATACTTAAAATTAAAAACAATACTTATATTATTTGGTATGTGGAAAGAATGAATGAGAAGAGTGAGAAGTGGGGGGGAAAGGATAGGGAGGGGGGATGGAAGGAGGGGGGTAGGGTGCCAAATGGAAATGTAGTTTGCTACCCCTGGGGGGGTGCAATATAAACAATGATAAAGTAATCTTTGACTATCTTAAATTTAATTTTAAACCAAATCAAATCGGGTTTGATTTTTTTTTTAAATTGCTTTCACAGTTGGATTTTCTCGTAATTCGTGGGGGCAGTTTTTGCAGGCCAACCCGCGGTTCTTAGCGCTACAATTCATTACTAAGGCCCGGTTTCCACCAAAGCAGAGAGGAGAGACGAGAGGAGATGTGTTTGAATAAACCAATCCGATTTTTTTATTTCCACATCTCTTCTCCGATTAGCTTCGGTGAAAATGGCTCAAGCGGAGAGGAGAGGATGTCTCATTTTTCTATAGAATTTTGTGCGGCGAGCGAGCAAGTTACGCGGCCGAGCGGCGTAAAAATTATTCCTCGTTACCTTGTAAAATATTTGAAAACTTTCATCATCAAACTCTTGAAACAGTGTGGCATATTCGCCACGACTGTGACATTTTATGTTTCTTATCCAGAATCTATATTGCCGTCGATAATTTAAATATTGAAGAATTAATGGTGTTTCTTCAACTTCTAATTCCTCTTCCTCAAGCAAATTCAGATACAACTTGTAACGACATGACGTCTTCCTTTCGTAGACAGAACTTGACTAGTTTCGATCTTTCACAGCTCACACCTCTGCTATACAAAGCTCACATCTCCTCTCTACTACACTTCTCCTCTTCGCTTTGGTGGAAATAACCAACCAGCTTTGCAGCACATATCCTCTTGTCTCTGCTTTAGAGGAAACCGGGCCTAAGCGCCACTATAATAGCGCATACGCAGGATAAGCCAGGCGGATCGCTAGTAGAAGTGGGCTGTAACAGGTAAGGTTCCAATCACATAAATAACAGTTACAAAAACCTGTTACAAAATAGCAGTCAGTACAATCTTGGTAGGTACTTCTATTTCGAACTAAGGTGTTGAACCTATGCGAGAAAAAGACACAGCTTGTGAAACTGTATCAGGGTGTTACTGTAACAGTGACATTTTTATCTTATTCTAATAAAGGTAACTGTCATATGTATGAATAAAGAAAAGCTTGTGACTGTTGTATAACGAATTTTGTTATCTGGCGGAACAGGAGCTGTTCTTTCAGTTTGTTCGTCACAGTTACAGTCTGCTGTTTTTTACGTGTTACGATAAATACACCTCACTTCTAGTCGCTGGTATTACATTAAAAAAATCAAATTTCATGTTTCAAGTTATAGTTAATACAATCACATCCTAAAATATACTTAAACACAACATAAAAATCTATTAAATATTGTGTGTAATAAAGTAACTTAAGATTTAGTGTATTGTGATGAAATAAGAGTATGTACTTATGTTTGATTTTATGTGTTTATGTAAATTTGCGTATGCATGTGTAAAGGTGCGCATGTAATGTATCCTTGCGTATATCGAAAATTTTCTGCTGCTGTTTAAGTTTATAAAACACGACTATAAAGATTATGATAACTAATGATTCATTCCCAAGCAGGACTGATGGTATAAATTGTTACAAGCACTCCAACATTAAAGCAAGGCAATAAAAGTTCAAGTAAATAAAAGAAAATTACATCAAGTGCAGATTCAAAAATAAACGCGGTAGAAGTTAGTAATCACGTTCGATCACATATTTTTGTTAATAGAATACAATATTCAGCATTACACACAAAATAGAGACAATGATCAGATTCGCATAGCTATGGCGATACTTTAGTGGATAGATATTATAGACAACTAATATTTAAAATAAATTCAAACGTAATATTAAATATAAGCGCGCAATAAATGTGAAATTATGATTTCGCAATCATTCGCAAGCAATAACGCTTACGTAATATTAAACTAAGGAACACATTTATAAACATTACAGTACGAAATGAAGGAATGTTACAATAAAAAGATGTTAAATAAATACCTGCTACTTTACTTGATCGCACTGGCGGTAATACTCCGCAATCCAGAACTCCTCTGTCAAGCGCTGCTCTCATATCTCTGTTACAAACAATAATTTAACTGTTACGTTTTCAACAAAAGAAAGAGTACGACATAAGACAATAAACAACTAGCTCACACTCCTGATGGTAAGTGGATACTGTGATCCATATGATACAACCACATGTATCCTACATTGTAAATCAAAATGCAGATGCATTCGCACTCTTGAGGACTAACACCGTTACCCTTAAAAGGGGTTCTCCTGTACTTATCCCTCACCGTAAGAAACACGGCAGCGTTATTTTGCTATTCAGTTTAATAATGATTTCTTAAATTTACGCGAACACTATACATTGAATAAAACTATTATTTATGGATTTTATCGCGTTTAATTACTTTAATTCATTTTTATTATTATCCCGACGTTTCGGGTGTTTTACAGGACAGGGTGCAGGAAGTCTGCAGTCTGCGAACATGTTCAAGATCGTCCCCACCATTACATTAGATTTGATAAACCACAAATTCTCGCAAAAGAACACCGATTCCTACCAAGGATGATACGCGAGGCTATTGAAATTAAAAAAACATCCAAATTTCAATAGAGAAGATGGTTGGGTGCTACCATCTGCTTGGGATCCTATAATTAACAAAATTAAACCCAAACCCAAGCATACCACTGCAAGACTTCATGATACTATAAGCTCGTTTTGCGTAAATCGGACCAAAAATTAATATTAAAAAAACTGAAGGTAGCCGGACTAACTATGACATTGGGACGTCAAACATCTCAGTCCCCCCGTGACCATGGGTGCTGTAAAGCACCCGAAACGTCGGGATAATAATAAAAATAAATTAAAGTAATTAAACGCGATAAAATCCGTAAATAATAGTTTTATTCAATATTCAGTTTAATATTCATAGTTTGAGTCGAATTGTTACTTGCGATTAAACATGGAGACAAAACAACAATCACAAACATTCATAATCGTGTTTTGCTCCAAGTGTCGAAGCAAAATAGTGCATGAAACGAAATATAAGCTTGAATAAGCATAATATGGCACAGCCTAAGAGGAAGATACAGTCAGTCATCGCGTTTGATATTGATGGAAGATCTGACATAAACAATAAATTGCTAGGATTGTCAGAACGAGAATTAAAAAAAGAAAAAAAAAACAAATTTTATTTTATTTCGCGTTTGAACAAATTCCTGTGTATGTGTAAACTGATGAAACTTTAATTCCTTATCTTTAAAAGAGGACAACCCACAGTTTTTTACCGCACGTGTAGGGTGAAGCATTTTCATTTACTTGCGTGACAGGACAACTCTAGCGGACAGTTGCGTTTCCCGAGCGATTAACGGCCGCTCGGGAGCGCTCCACCTGCGTCTCGCCCGCACCGCACCGAACGATTGCCCAGTCTTACTATTAAGAGTAGTTAGACTGTGCTTATGGCGACAGTTTGGCGGTATATTGTTGGTGTTAATAACTATAGGTTCTTATTATGCGATACCACAGTTACTAGTCGCTATTGACAACATCATAGTGGGGAAGTCGGCACTCCAGCCATTTAGATTGGTAAACAGCCTTGGAAAAATTGGCAGAGCAAGTCTAGAGACCCTTTATCATCCACTTGCTTTAGCTCTACCAATTTTGGCAAGATCTACGGCTGGGCGTAGTCATGAAAAAATATTCTCCAGACCTTGTCTCAACAGAGTTTTGAAGGTTTCTGTAAGGCGAAAATTACAACTCCGATCGTGCAGCAGACTTCTATAGAAAGGGGATCAACAAAATATCCATACCATAAAATGACAATGTTAATAGTTTAGGCATATTTTTTTAAAATAAGCTTTTATTGGAAAATTATGTTGTACCCTACTGTCCCTGCGACTTCCCGCTAATTTCAAATGCTTGAATTTTTACCTTTTTGAGTTCATCGAGCTTTTTCGAGCTTTTTTGATTTTGCATTGACGTAGTTTTTTCAGCTTAACAAAAACATTTATCACAATAAAATTGATTTGACGAAAGTATTTCAAGTTATTTTGAAAAACACTTTTAAAAGATTTCTTTCGGCAACGACATCTCTTAGACGAATCCACCGATTTTGATGCGGTTCATGGCAATCGACGCCGTTTTATGAACATAAGAGCTGATTACATTATGGAATTAATTAAAACAAGGGTTAAAGTTGCTAAGAATTACTTTACCCACCTTCGTTCAAAGAAATAAAATGATGTGTCTTACTTAGTTTGAAGAGCACCTCCCTCAATTGCGTTTTACAAAATTAAAAATACTCGAATTTTTAAGGAATTTTTAGGGAATTTTTAGAATCTAACGTGCATTCGCAAGAAATCTAAGTTCACCGAGGCCCTTTCAGATGCCGAAAACCACTTTTCGATCAGACACTCCGTTACAAAGTTATGAGATGTTTACATACATACACAAACACACATACATACAGACATACGGACATCATCGCAAAAACAACCAGAATAGCTTCCTAGGTAATCGAAACGTCGAGATGTGATCGATTTTAAAAAACCAGGGTGAAAACAATAACTAAATAAGTTAGTTGGTATTAGAGACTCGTCTAAACGGGATATATTTTCTGGTAATGTGTGGCTGCAATACTGTGGCCGGCAACATTGCCATTAATACTAATCACACTGTGCAATATTTTAAGTATGGCCCGGCATTTATAACCACAAATTTTTGGTATATCAAAAACATTCATCTTCATGTGTAACCGGCGTGTGGACGAACTATTGCCTCGTAAACTAAAATGTGCAATGCAATGTTGCTGTGCCATCTATATTGTATGTTGACTGCCACGTTGGTCTAGTGGTTGTAGTAGTGCGACTGCTGATCATGAGTAGCTGTCCTGGGTTCGAATCCCGGGTCGGACCAAAAAATTAATTATTGAGTTTTTCCTTCAAGAAATTCTCAGTAGTTGCTCGGAGTCAGGAAATTGGCGGTGTCTCACCCCCGTGCCTCGGAAAGCACGTAAAGCCGTTGGTCCTGCGCCTGATCTCTATCCGGTCGTGTCGGTTTACCATCCCATCGGATTATGAAAGTAAGGGAATAGAAATTGCACCTGTGCTTGCGCATACACTTAGGCACAAAATCCTGTCCTGCGCCGATGGCTAGTCTCTGTTGAGGCAGGCCGCCGTGGCCGAAATTCGGTCTTGAGGACATTATTGTACGTTTCGTTTTATTGTATATGCGCATTCTGATGCGACTTACGCAGACGCAGCGCATCACTTTCTGGGTAACGTTAAGTGTGTTGCGATATTCATCGCGTTGCGATACTCTGTACTGCCTTTTTTGCATGTTGTGATTTTGGAAAAAAGAAAAATTATACTTGTTATAATGTAATAATAGTTGGCCTAATGGGAAAACTCTTGACATTATAATGAAGTAAATTTACAACCTGAATTATGGCGTGTTGAAACCGGAATATATTATGTATGTATAAAGACATTCGTGTTGTTCTTTTCGTTTTAGCCAAAACAATGTAAGCGGCTACGATGAGCATTATTACGTCGGCCATTTTCGCACGATTGTGTGCCCCATTTAGGAAAACAAAATCATGGGTCATACTATTACAGCCTAGCAATTGATTACTCAGCCATAAAATGCCATTAAATGTTTTTGTGATATCCGGGCAATGTTTGCCAATATTTGCAGCTACATTTTGCCTGAAAATATGACTCAATCAGACGAGCTTTAGATAACAAGTTTGTTGTGATTTTGATAATAAAGTAAAATATATTAACGTGTTTTATGTAAGTTTTAAATTTCGCGTCTGTACCTACTGCAGTCTTAAAAATTAGTTCAAAATGAAGGGAAGAAAGTCAACTTTATAAAGACTAGTAAACTTTTGAAAACTTTTGAGTCGTGAAATAATTGAAATGGTTTTATCCCATACAGATGTATAGGCATGTATAAGCCAAATATATTATGTTATATATGTTCAATTAATTGTAACCGTGTTAGTCTTCCTTATCTATAATAAGGTCATGTAACAAGGCTTGTGTAATGGCCTGCTGCGCCGGTGATGTGACGGAGTTGCTTAATATGATATAACCTAAGAATATTTAAGAAATATAATTTTTAAGACCATAGTACTAAAGAGTTTATATATATATATATATTATATATATATATATACATATATATATATATATATATATATATATATATATATGTATATCATATATCAATAGTTGATTATATTGTTATGCAACTATTGCGTTTTATTATTCGTAAACTCTTCTCTACTTCTCTTCTTATCCATCTTGATCGATGTATTGCTTTATATAACTTACCTGTTATATAAAGCACCAAAAACAATTTGCGTCAAGTGGTTACACTATGATTTAAAATTGAATAAATCTCGTTATCATACCTTGTGTTGCAACCGTTGAACATTCTTTCAATCAACTGCTGAGTAGCAACGTTGACACACAACTTATCGGGCGCAATTCCTCCGCAAGGACAGTCGCCGTTGTACATAGTGCATCTGCGAAAACAATTTATAAATAAATCATATTAATTAGTAAAACACTTTTTTAAAAAAAAGACCTAATATATTAAGGGGATATATAACCTCAAATGGCTTAGCAAGATCCTCCGTTATGCCGAAAATATTGCAGCATTAATTTTGAATTAAATATATGGTAAAGCTGAGGATTAATGTTAAGTACTATGTTAGACGAAAACACGATTCCGTAAAATTTTCTCGATAGAAAAAAAATTCCAAAGTTACCTCCAAACTGGAGAATAAACCGCTGTTATTCATAAAATACTTTAAATAAGATCATGAAACTTTGCATACTAACTGAACTAACTATAAAGCAGGGCTAATGTTTTTTTTATTTTGTTTAAATTACTTAATTATTTTCACTGTAAAAAGAAATTACCTAAACAATCGGCGTCCTGAAGCTTGTTTTCTGCCGCCCGGTTCCAAGCTTCAGAACGTCGATAGTTTAGGTAATTTCTTTTTACAGAGAAAATAATGTAATTTAAAAAAAAACATTAGCCCTGCTTTATAGTTATTTGAGTTAGTATGCAAAGTTTCATGATCTTATTTAAAGTATTTTATGAATAACAGCGGTTTATCGTTCAGTTTGGAGGTAACTTTGGATTTTTTTCTATCGAGAAAATTTTACAGAATCATGTTTTCGTCTAACATAGCACATAACATTAATCCTCAACTTTGCCATATATTTATTTCAAAATTAATCCTGCAAAATTTTCGGCATAACGGAGGATCTTGCTAAACCATTTGAGGTGCAATGTAAAGATGTTCCACCGCAGTGTGCAAAGAAAAAAACAATATTGTCTTTGGGTGTGAACATAATATTATTGTTCTCAAGTCCCCGACATCACATCATAATATACCTTCGATGTTATCTCATTAACACACTTACAGTGCAATTTTGGAATAGGTTAGAACTAGTGCCCGTGTCTCTAAACAAAACCTTACATAATTAAATTGTTTACTAAATAGTAAGCCTGCGTCACTATAGTATGTTTTTGCACAGTTGGAAAATGACATATTCAAATGAAAACAAAAATTATATGGAAATCACTCAATTATTTAAAAATGTCTTACCCGAAATCATTAAAAATTGGCCTTGCCAGCGGCCGACAAACGCAATTCGGTTTAAATTTGAATTATACAACGAGTATTTGTTTACACAAACCAATAATATTTACTTTGTGCATCTGGTGTGCCCGCATTGACTGGTCACGGGTTGTATCGGGATGCGGTCACAGTTGAGACACCAGAGTTTCTTCTCGGCAAGCACTTTGTGGTCACGTGCGTGTTTGATTACTCTGTTAGCCGCCATTTGAGCATACGCCGAGGGCGATGACCCATTCAACACACACATCTTTCTCAAATGTGTCCTTTCTAGAGATAACAAATGTGATTTAGCCTCCAAGGTCGGCCATATTTGTAAAGAGAGCAGGTCGTTCACCTCCGTTTCGAATAATGGATAAGTTCTCATGTTTGAATCTAGTGCTCTATTTTTATATAGCTTATGACAGCGGGGCAAATATTGTAATGTCTTGTGGATAGAATCACCACCGTTACGATTACAACTGGTAGATGTTTGTAATGAAACGAAGGAGCTGCTCTCGTCGAAAGCAGTTGTAAGCGCATAAGATGATGATGCCTTTGTGTATGAATTATCCGTGGAGTCTAACTCGGCATTCGCCAAATTTCTAGGGTTAATGCAATCATTGACATAAGGATTAAACTGCGGATATCTACGTCGACGACGTTGATTTTGAGGCCTCCAGCTGTTTGATTGTTGGTTCCAATAAGAGTTGGGCCGATAATGATCAATAATATAAACAGTAGGCGGAACGAAAGCAGTATTAAAGAAACAAGGATCAATGGCTTCTTCTGGGCTACGGTACGGCAAGATCTGCGAACAAAAATGCACAATATAGTAAAACAAGGAACAACAAGCACTTGCTATATTATACCTTAGTGAACAATTAAGTAACAATGTAAAATTTGCGGAATACATAACTATTAAAAATGGTATCATAAAATCATTATAGTGTTTCTGTTTAATTCACGCTATATATAATTTTTTTTTTGCAAAAATACTACAAAATGCTTTTTAGTTTAATTTAAGTTATAATACGCAAGAATTATTTCTGGAAACCTAAAATTAATTTCTGAGCTATATATTTATATTATTGTTCTTTCTAATGTTAATAACATTAGACAGAACAGTTATGGACGACATTCGTGGTCAGTTCAACTGATAAACTAGGACTGTTGATATTTTTTAAAATATCGGATTTTCGATATATCGATAAATAAACATATATATAACTCCGATATGAATATATTTATAATTATCAATATATCGAAAATATGATATTTTATAAAATATCAACAGTTCTAGTTTGAACTGAACAGTCGGAATGGTCAGTTGAACTTATCGTGTGTGGCCACCACCATAAAAACTGTAAAAGTAATAAACTTCTATTTCCTTTCCTTATCCCACGTTATCTGGGCTCGGCATAGCATGTCTTTCTCTTCCATTGTCCTTTCTTAGCAGTCATCTCTTCACTCACCACTTTCTTACGCATACCATCCCACTATCCCATCCACACTAAACAAGTAATCAATATCAAAAAATCGACTAAAACATTATGAAGCTTTTCTCTCAATCAGTAGTCTGGATTAACTCGGTACACAAAAACGGTAGAAACTTTCTTACAGATATTACATAAAAAATTCAATTACGTAAAGTTGCGCTACCAAAATCGACCTTCTCTTTGTGGCTTAAAAATTAAATATATTTTGCACGTGATAAAACTAAGCTGCAGCTATAATATGGTTGCTGTAGTAATATGAATAGTGGTCCACGCGGCCGGAGAAGGAACACGCTCTTACTGAACACCAACGTAAAAGAGCAGCTTAAAGCTTGTCTTTCGCATGGTTTGGTATAGTGTAGAAAACCGGTGTACTTTTTTATTGGAAATGAAGAATTCTATCTTAGTCCTTATGGGTGACAACGCATCTGCATTTTGATTCTTAATTAAAGATAAATAAAAATGTCTATCAGACACAGCATCCACTTACCTTCAGGTGTTAGTTTATCGCTCTGTAAATAACAATACAAAAATATATCTATTTTTTGATTTTTGATTTCGAGATGATCACACTTGTAATGCAGCACATGTTGCATAATGAGGTGAAGGGAAAGCCTTGACGCGCAATAAATGACTTAATACAGAACAATAGTGAAGAGGGTAATTCAAAGTGTGTAATAATTATTCCACTGACTCGTCTAGTGGTCGTAAACACGACAACAACCGTTCGGATTCGAAACCCGGGTCGAAATAAAATCAGTTGTAGATTTTCTGTCAAGAAACTCTCAGTAGCGACCCGGTGTCAGGAAGCCCTGGTAACCCCGGTGTTTCACCTTGGAAATCGCGTAAAGTCTTGCGCCTGATCACTCTTAGGGCGTGTCGAATTGCGACATCGACCTATCGGATCGGACTATGAAAATGCAGGAATAGGGTGCACATGTGCTTGCGCACACACTCGTGCTCTATAATATTGCACCGCGCAGAAAGTAAGTTTCTGTTGAGACTGGTCACTGTTACTGAAATTCGGTCTGGTGGACTTCATCATGCTTATATTACTACAGAATAATAATAATAGTTACGTTAAGCATGCGGCCTTTTACATAAACGTGTCACTACACGTACGATGTGTTGTCAAAACTTTTTGTCGGATAGTTACAGTCGGTCGTGTGTCGCGATTAACAGGTGGATGATACCTTTTTTATAGGATAAGGGTGACAAACGAGCACACATTCCACCTGATGGTAAGTGGATGCTATGGCCCATAGACATCTACATTTAACCTCGATAATAATCAAAATTCAGATGCGTTGTCACCCTTGAGGACTAAAATGGAAAGCAGCGATTCCAGTAAAACGGGTCTCCGGTTCGCTACACTCACCATACGAAACACAGCAGCATTAAGCTGCTATTTTACGCTGGTATTCCGTGAGAGCGTTGTCCTTCCCCGGTCGAGCCTACTCATTCATGCTACAACAACAATATAGCTGCAGCGTGGCTCTACCACGTACAGAAAGATGATAACGAAGATAACGATAAAGATAACGAGCGATGGCACACGACGCCCTAGATACGCTCGAAATTAGGGATGCATCGAAACGAGCTTCTGCCGATACCGATACACCCAACGGCGATGGCGATACCGATACCAATAACCGTACCAGTACTTAAATGAGGTTTAGAACAGGTATAAATAAGTGTTGGCGACGCGCCTTTAAGAATATTTCAATTTATTAGTTAACCGATTACGAATAGCTTCTAAAAAGCAAATTATCAAGCAACAATATTCTGATAAGAAAATGCTTAGTTGAATCTTAAAGAAATATCGAATTAATGATATGAAGGTCTTGGGTTCGACTCCCAGGCCGGAATAGTTTATCGTTTTCTTAGTAATATCTCTTAATAAATTCATATAGGGAATTTTTAAGATATAAATTATGTTACCGGGTTTGTTCCCCGGTTGAAATCATCTTTCCAATAATGTTAATTTAAAGAAATATTAAAATAAAGTTAGAGACCAGGATTTGTTCCCCGGTCGAGATGATCGCTGTGTGTAAGTAGAATTAATGGAAATTAATTGCATAAGTATTGTCTTATATGAGTTTGATATGTTTTGTATGAAAACAAATGCCTATTTTCTATGATTGATTTATGAAAACATTCACTTATATTGTTTGATAAGAAACATGATAACTGATAAGAATCTGATTAGAAATAGTTTTCAACGTTTAAGAATGTGTAGAATCATTTATTCACCTAGTATTGTTGATATTAGTGTATACTAAACTTTCCATTTTTACTGATAGTCGATAGCCGTGCAAAAGTTAGTTGTTCAAATAGTGTGAGTTCATAGACGCACGCTAGCCACGTACTTAGGAGGCCAAATATGTAGAAATTTAAATATTTGCAAATTTCAGCAATTTATGTAAAATGACTTGTAAAACATTTCAGATTGATTGTACGTGTAAAAGAGGTGAATTCTGTGTTATTTTATGTGAAAATTCCTGTGAATAAGTGAAATAATGATAGTTTTGTATAAGAAATTTAAAAGTGTTTTAATAGTGATTGTATAGAGAAAATGTAAATTAAACTGTTGTATTGGTTAAGATATGTATAATTTCAAGTGGAAAACATTGTTTTAACTTTTCATGTTAAATATTTAAGAAATTTCAACTTTGAACACGTGAGTAAAATAAGCATATTTTGTTAAATAAATAAAAGGTTTTTTGTGATATGAAAATGTAATGTATATCGTAGTATAGATATTTTTTTGTGATATCTTTATAAGTAAATTGTATAAATGTATGTCTTATACAAATAAAGTTATTGAGTAAACCGTGAGAGAGTGATAGTACAAATTGATGTAATTGAGTTGCGCAAGCGCACAAATGGCGCGGCTCACTTTCGCGTATAGCTCTGGGGTAGCTCAGTAAACGAGTTTTCTTGCAATTCATTCGGGAAAGTTCGGGAATCGTTCGGAAAAAGTGCAAGACCAGCAGTCAATAAGAAGAAGAAAGAAAAAGTGTAGGGAAGTGATAGGGAAAAGTAATTCCTCTCTCACGGAACGGTTTGAAGATAATTGCTGTTTTATTCCCAAGGAATTCTTCCCTCAAAATAATACAGTCCACATCGAAGAATTAAGGCGTTGGGACCGGGACGACTTCGGAAGACCCGTAATCCCCGCCTGAACCTATTTTCTGAAAAGGAAGAGGTTATCGCCCTTGTGTGTTACTCCATTGCGGAGATCACATACGTTGTTCCCGAACCCAACGTAGGCGTTATAGGAGGCCGGATCGAGAGAAGCCTCGATTCCCCCTTCTGTTTCTTAGTTAACGTTTGTCTGGTTCCTTTTCAAGTGGTCCTTCGAAGCAGGATCAAGGAACTGTGCTGAAGCTGCGGACTGCTGGTTATGGAAAAAGAAGACCTTCGGAGCCGAGTGAAGATCAGCAACCGAAGAAAGCCGGAGGTTTGACCTGAAGCAACAGGGACCAAAGGCCGGAAGACCAGGTCAGCGCAGTAGAACCGGACCTGGAACTACCAGCAGAAAGAAAATCGGGATTGCGGCTTGGGGCGTGTGCTCGCATGGGGCATGTATCGCAGCCAGGCGCAGGTGCCTTGTGAAGGCGCTCATCGTGGCCAAGCAGGGCTTGGCATTTTCCTGTCGGACGATCGTGTCCGGCATTCCCTGTCGGACGACCGAGTCCGGCATTCCCTGTCGGGTCATCAGAGGGTGCAAGAAGAAGAAGCATCCACCGCTGCTGCTGCCAGGCGAGGGTGCTCGTGGGCACCGGACGAGGCGTCACCGGCGACTGGGCGACGAAGCGCAGCATACATCCCGACCACCTACCGGTGCCAAACGGTCGGGCTCTGGCACAACACCTTCGGGTGGAGCAGTTCTCTCTAGCGAGACTGCGCTTGCACTACCGCTCGACTGTTTCGTCATATTGGCGGGACAGTTCCTAAACCTTTCCTCCATTCCATTCTTGCACGACTCCATCCCTGGACGGCTCACCTCGGTAGGCCCCGTTCAGGATTGATAGGGCTGATAGGGCTGTTAGGGTGGTAGTAAGGTTGTAGGGTTGGGATATAAAGGGAGGGAGGGGTAGTAGGGTTAGGTTGGGGTGTAGAAGGGTTGTAGGTAAGGGGTTGTAGGGACCGTAGGGACAGTTAGGGACCGTAGGCCAACAATCACCTTCCTGCAAGATGAAGAAGACACAAGACCAGACAGAGAGGAGCGAAGGAAGCAGGACAAGAACAGGGCTCTCAAGAAAGGCTAAAGAGGCGGAATTATCTAGAGCGACCACAGCTACTGCTTCGA